ATTCCGGTCAGTAGTAGATAAGCGGGGTGATTTTGACATTTCTGGGAAATAAAAGTGAATCTAAGCTGACATTACCAGATTTCAGGCTTATTTATTTGATAAAATATGCGGAACGAAGGTTTTTTTTATAATTTGGTACCTAAAGCGTACAAGAATTTTATGAAGTCTGTGAGCGAAAAAAACTGTGAAGACAAACTTTCAAAGAATTTAATTCTGAAAAGGGTACTTGTAAGCATTCAAAATAAATAAACAAGGATGACAAACTGCTAAACATTACGAGGATATAGGTAATGGAAAGAAGGAGCATTATTGCTTCATTTGAAAGCATGTTACGATACCCGACAAAGGCTACCTTCATTTGACAGATTTACGAATATGTTTGGCAGAGCAGGTCGCTGAGTACAGGATTTGTGGTGAAAGCTCATTTGTAAAAGGTACTGAAAATGTTACATGGTATGTGCAGTCAGGGCTTAATGAGATCAAAATCGAAGTTTATACAACTGGATAGTGGTAATTAGGTATCAGTACTCAAGTTGAGAAGTAACGTCGAGATGATTTGGCAGACAAAGGCTAACAGTGTTTTTTGGCAGCAAAAGGTATTAGAAATCAAAATTTGAAGAAGAGTTAATAAACTGCATTTGCCACAACATCTATTATCTTTGTACCACAAACTTCGGTCATTTTAGATGTTTTGAACTGTTTTGCTTCTCAGAAGGCTTTTATAGAGGTTTTCTGTAAAAGTCTTTTTTTTTACTCTATCCCGCAGTAATTGGCGTTGTACTTTGCACAATGTTGGGTATTCTTCTAATTCTAATAACCGATAAATTTACATTACAGGCCGTGTTAAAGCTGCTGGTATTAGAATTTTTTAAAGAATTATTATTAAGTTGAAAATTTAGGTGTAAATCATCTGCTTTATTTTGCAATTGCTTTTATTTCATCTTTTATCTATTTCTTTTTGCTTGCCGTTAATGTAATTTTTGGAAGCACACTAGTTTTTTCAGTCTCAATTAAGTAAGATGTTTTTTACTCAGGAAGTTTGAATCAATTAAAATTTTATTTTAAGCAAAGCCTGAAGAAGTTGAACATTTAACGGGAATGGCGGTACCTTCAGATGATCTGGATCAGTCGCGTACCTATGAAGTTAATCCGGTGATAACTTACAACGAGAAGAAGGACGTTTTTTGACCAGTTTTTTGTTCCTCTACAGTCTTACTTGCGTGTTAACAAATTATGCATTTAGATTTTTGTTTTTCGTTTATCTAAAATATGTATGTGAAGAGTATTTACATTTACATTCATTAACCAGTGTTGTTACTCAACCGTAATGGTTCTTTCTTGTCTAATTGTTCTAAATGCTACTTTAATTTTTTAAATAAGACATGTTTTGATTTTTATCAACTTTTTATTGTTGTTGTTGCTCGATGTGACATTCCATTTAATTTTTTCTGTACTGAGCAATATTAATAATAATAATAATAATAATGATAATTTTTGTCAAATTAGTTTGTTACGAATATGACAAAGAAAGAAAAAACGATATTTTTGTTGTGGTATTTGTTGTATGTTGCAACACTGGAGTGAAGAATTGGTGGGATATTGCTCTGGAATAATTGAAGTGGAGTTTATCTGAAGATCGCTCTTACATTTCAAATAACAACTGGGAGGGTTATCTCCAAGTGTAGAACATGATACGGGAAGAAAAAAAGTTGATTTGTTCGAGAGGCGAATAAAGCGTCTAATTCGTTCTCCTAAAAAAAGTTTAGAAAAACATCTTGTCAAAAATGGTTATCAAGTTCTCTAAGAAGCAGCTGAAAGCGTCAGTGAACAAGTGGACACCTTTATAATGATTGTCAATAACAGTTGGGGTACTTTAGTGCTGCTGTTCATAAAGTTTACCATTTACAGTGTCTGATGAAACAGCAGTGTTGCAATTTCGATGAAATAAAGTCTGTTTGATAAATTCAGTAATATTTGATTGATGATTTTTAATAAAAATTAATCTGTTTGTTTTTTCTTTTGGTGATTTAATAAAATATAGGTAAATTTGGAGAAAAAAAAAGCTAATTGGCAGATACGAATGGAAGTTGAAAAATTTTTGTTGGGTTAGTGGACTTGTTAAGTGGTACTAAACTAATCTGGTAATCTTTCTTTTCATCGTTATCGCATTATCATTGAACAATTTCTTTAGTTTGTGTAACAGATTTTTGATATAGCTATTTGTTTTCTTTTTTCTCCCCCCTCCCCTCCCAAATACTGTTCCCTATGCATGACAACCAAATGATTTGTGAAGCCTTGCATGATTTTGTTTACAAATGATTCTCTAATTTTTTTTTTTGTCGACTAATACAGCATATCTTTTCTTTTTCACACTGTGTTTTGGTTTTTTTTTTCTTCAACATTTTATTTGCTACTTTTTTTTTTTTTTTACATTTCAAAACTTTTTTCTGTCAATGTTTTACTTTTGTTTGAAAGAATCTGTACAAATAATTTTGATTTTAAATTATCGCACAAATTTGTTACAATTTTTAGGCACTTAAAGCTTCTGTTCAAAAAAGTTTTATGGAAATAGCGGACAAATTAATCAAATCTTTAAAATTGATTTTGTTGATCGCTTAGTTGGAAAGAATTTTTATTAGCAAACTTTTGTATCTGAATGGTTAACATACGAAACTTTGCTGGGAATGTATTGGATACACTTTTTTTGTTGAATTAACAAACGTTACAGAAACGATATGAAATGTTATCAGTTTCATAGAATAATAAGTGAAGAAAAAAAAGAATAGTACTGATATTTTCAAAAAAAAGTGATATAGTAATTTTTGGTATTTAGCAAAAAAATTTGTTTCATATTTATTTCTCTAAAATTTAATAATATTTAAAAATCTTCCAAATAGATAGTAATATTTGAACTTCAGTATTTTCAAAATGCTTCTTTGCCAACTGATATCGTCACAGTTGCACCGGGACTCTGTACAGTGCAAAAGTTTTGAGTGTCATCTTAAGGAACTAACCATATTTATTCGGCTAAATCTTATATAATATAGTTTAGGTCAAAAGAAAGCAAAAAAAAAATGTTTTTTTTTTCTATTTTATTTCTTCAAAAAAAAATTTTATTTTTTGTTTAGTAAAGTCAAATTGATTTTGATTTTTTCTGTTTTTTCTGTTTTTTTTTCTATTGAAATAAGTGACCAGTAAAAGCACAGTAAGTTATGTTATATATTCAGATTTGTCTCCGAAATGTTCATATATTTACACAACGTATATGTGTATTTTATCTGTTGTGTAAGAAAAAAAAATCAGATCATAGTTGTGATTTCAAGCTGTACAAATCACCCGCATAAACGTCATATGTTCTCAAAAAAAAAAAAAAAAAAAAAAAAAAAAAAAAA